ATGTTTATATAACATTTTTCTCTTACTTATACCCATAGAATATACTGACAAAGTTTCGTTGAAAACAACTGGGACACCCTGTATATGAAAAATTCAATTTTGCATCATTAATTTTTCTAACACAGGATTCTTTACTAATTTCTGTAGAAATCTTTTTAGCAATTTTACAGATCCATTCAGCGTGTTAACAATATGTGTATACAGGGTGTCGTGAGCGGTTCTGACTAAGTTTGAAGATTTGAAACAGAATTTATACGAATCTACGTTTAACAAAGCATAAATGACCTACGTTCATGTAACTTTGGTTTCTTACTTGCACCCATAGAACATACTAACAAAATTTGATCGGAACAAACTGGGACACCCTGTATAAGTAGCAAACTTACAAGAAATTTCTTTTAATTGTTCAACTCTTCCCATTTATAATTTATCGTTGCGCAAAGTGTGTCGAATTTGTAGAACGTGCGAATTGAATTTATCACACATTAAGTAACTTGTGTTAATTAGAATACAGTTAAGAGATAAGGAACAGTGAAGAGGCAGTGATATGTGCATAAATAGCGCAGCATAAAGTACATCGATACCATCTACCGTATCGTTATTTGATAGAAAAATTGTGAAAATCGCTCTGAAAATTTTCCGAAACAAGCGTTGAATACTATTACAATTAATTTGATAAAAACTGATTTCGTTGATGTTCATATCGAATCGGAAACTGTTCTACCTTTGAAGTGGAAAAATGTGAACATCCGTCGCTGAGAGATAATTACTCGAGCGATGAAAATATCGAAAGTACACATTTATTAATTAAGCATACGGTGAACTTCCAAGCAGTCGCGTTGCTACGACGAACGTATCGATTCTAACGCAATCGACATTGATATTTGGTATCACGTTTAACGTTCATCTTATTTATCTAGTAATTGTTACTTAAAAGAGTGTGTACATTTGTAAATACGTATACGACGAAACTGTTCGATGTTTCCTCTTTAAAAAAAAAAAAAAAAAAAAAAAAACGACTATCTTCCAGATAAAGGCAAACGAATAGGATGAATACCATAACGCATGCACAGAACCGTTTTTCTATCGCAGAGTTGGGCACGGTTTTATTCGAATAGACAAGTAACGAATAAGGGTAAGAAAAAGTTTGATTTATGAAATAGCAGAATTATTATTTACATTAACTTCTATATTTATTATTCTGTTATCAGTTATTATTTACGTTTTACTGGTTTATCACGCGACAATTTGATCTGTGCCATTTAATTGTTTGCAAATTTTTTAAAATTCAGTTGAAATGAGAATAATGAATTATGCGAATAATTAAATACAGCAGAATTTTGATTATCTGAACCAATCATGAGACACACAGCTCGAATAAACGAAATAACTTCTAAGAAAGCTTTTCCTTTCCTACTTATTTTGAAATATTTTACGAACATCAATATTAACGAAGGGGAAAAACATTTGAACAAAAATTTAGCAAACTTTTCTTCACTCTCCATTTTTATTTCTCAATCTTTCTTATTTTACCAATTTTCTTCTTATACTTCATTTCATCGTGAACTTGTACAACTAAAATGAATTCTTTCGGACAATTACTCCAGTGAAATATTTCCTCGAATTCTTCGAATAATGCCCAATTCTGCTTCCACGATACGTTCGGTAACGCGACCAATGGAAGATTAGCTCCTAGTCTATGTAAATCGAGGCGATCCTCGCCGGTTCAAACGTAGGATTCATACAGAGGGAGATTATTGCGCAAAATTGTCTGTACAGAAAAAGTCTGATCACGCAATGTTGTTTAGAGTTTTTCTCTGTGAATAGAATCTAACGTGAAAGAATATTGCGAGAAACGTGTTGCGCTCGAGAAGATGTCGAGACGCGACGCTCGGTTCTTTTTCTTCGAACAACGGGAGTCGTGTTGTTCCAGGATTCAAAGAAACAAAAAAAAAACGAAATATAAAGAAAATTGATAAAGAAAGAAGAAATTTGTATCACGTCGAGAAGGGAAATTTTGTAAACTCGGAAATTCTGCACAAAGAGAAAAAACGACGAGATCTCACTAACTGATTTAAACGAGCACACTAATTTTGCGCAGTAGCCCTATACAGGGTGTCCCGTAACTCCTCGAACAGCCGGAAATAGAGGGTTGCTGGGGTGACTCTGAACAACTGTTTCCTTTACCAAAATGTTGTTTGAAGCTTCATTTTTGAATTATTAACGAAAAACAGTGGCCAATCAGAGCACGCGTAGAGCCCGCGCTCAGGGACGAAGAACAGAGGCTCATTCGCGCGCGATTCCGACTAATTGCAATTTTTTCAAAAATTTATACAAACGTGGGAATGACGGCAAAAAACCATTTCTCTAAGCCCTATAAATATAGCGGTGCAAAGTCAAAATTTTTTGACAGCGATCGATAACCGAGAAGTCACGCGTACGCATTTGTTCACGATCGCGCGCGGATTAGAGTCAGCGCTCCCGTGCCTGGGTGCGGGCTCTACGCGCGCTCTGATTGGCCAGTGTTTTTCGTTAATAATTCAAAAATGAAGCTTCAAACAACATTTTGGTAAAGGAAAAAGTTGTTCAGAGTCACCCCAGCAACCCCCCATTATATATATATACATATGGGTATATATAATATACATATATACATAATTATACGACGGAAGAGGATGTACCATAGGGTATGCCAATTTTTTAATTTTACACCAGAGTTCAAGTTGAATGAAAGAAGCAAATTTGTACATTCTCTACGAAACTGCGGTGCCCTAGCTCTTCTATTTAACGTGCATTCAGGTGTACCCTTCGTTTACATTCATACGTACACGTCGGCTATTAAGTTCTGGGAAAAAGGACTTCTCGCATCGATCTCATCGTTTCTTACGAAAAAATTTCCTCGCAATGTGTACTTTGTCCGACGTGGATGATTCTTTTTCTCCAAATTTCCCTCGGCCGTACAAATCAAATTCGATCGTTTCATATGGGGAATTTATATCGAACCGTATTTATACCGTTAAGCTGAAAATATTCTGTAAACTTACTGTGGACGTGTTCAATTTTTAACTGTTAGCAAATCCAAAGATCGACTAATAACGCCAACGATTCATTTCCGGTTTGGAAATCTTCAATTTACTTTATCTGTAACGACGACAACAACAAGAACGACAACACATACATTATCGAGCACCTTTTGTGTAGCCGTATAAATTACGCAGCGTGGTAAGAAAATTGTTCGCATTTTACTTTCGCCGCAGAAAATCTTCACTTTTACGTGGATGAGAATATGTGATTGTAACAAAATATTTTCCTACCACTTCAACTGAATTGAATTCGAAATTTTTCTATGTCTTTATAGGTATTCATAGGTTACACACACACACACACACACACACACAACTTTTCGATATCGTTTTTTAACCTTTGACGACACCTAAAACGATGATGATTTTTAGTAAGTTTACTTTGAACTTTGTATCGTTACGGTTACCGATCATTTCTAATTTTCTATACGTTTAGATACAAAAAGTATGTAACACTGCAAAACTTGTACGTAGTAGAGCACAGAGTAAAAAAAAGACAAAAAAAAAAAATAAGAATTGTGTCACTCATTTTAAAAGATGATGTCTTCGCATAAGCGTATACTGAAATAACGAAAACTGTGTGCGACTTTTTTTATCCATACATTATATTGTAAACACAAATATACTCAATCTATGTTTATATACGTGTTTTATATTAACGAAGAGTATATATGGCGACGAAACCGTTACATAACTGGAAGAAACGTATAGGAAAAAGCTGTATGTAATGATACCAGTAGAACCTGGACAAAATATACCATATTATATGTAACGAACAAGCGTTTCCAATTACTTCTTCATATTTTTAACCTTATCATGTTAATTAGATAAATTCAAGTATTGTAGAAGAACTTTGCCAGCACACCTGTCGGAAGTTCGTTTAGCCTATAGATATTCCTTTCGTGAAAGGATCATTTATTGTTTGTAATAATAATATCTTCTATTGATATTATCTTCATACATAGATACAGGCAACCGACTGTAAAGCAGAGCGCGTGGCTCGTTTATGAACCCTTTAACCTATAACAACGTGTCAGACTCGTGGCAGAGATTCTGGTGAAGATGTGAGAAAAATAGCTATGTCAGTAAGAAAAATTAATTGTAGTCCTAACTTTCGTTTTAATTTGTAAGACTGAGGATTACTAAATGGTATTAATGTGTAACAAATTAGCTTTCATTGCCTGATACAGTAGTACCTAAAACAGTAAATGGCTGACGCTTAGATGCATAGCAGGAAAAGAAATCATAGGTTAAGGGGTTAAGCATCTTATGAAGCTAATTTTGAAGTCTCCATTCTGCAAAATGGCTCATTTTGTAAGTAGAATATCAAGGAATGTGATCATATTTTTTAAAAAATTTGAACCCCTCTAGCTCATCGCAGAGAAATTTACAAAATAAGAATTTCTTTATAATTTTCAGTATTATAAAATCAATTTTTCAAACAACAAAAATATTATTACAATAGGGCAATTCTTCTAGATAGAAACAAAAAAACTAAGCTTAATTCGATCAATAGTTTCTGAGATAAAAATTGATAGATACAGCCCCTTTTCATAAAAATGGGCAAAAATTGGCAAATTCAAGGGTTCGTATTTTTTAAACAGATTCGAAACCAGCTAAACGATGACTTAAACCCCCCCTAATTCCACGTGTACTACATTATATTTCATTTAGAACAAAATCCCTGATGTCGACGTGAAAAAGTGATCGATTTGGCGTGGAATGATCCAAATATTAAATACACAGAAAAAGGATGCTGTTTATTAAGGAGTATACATATATCAAAAGAAATATCACATTTTCTGGCACAATGATTTATTTCTTATTCATTATTAGCATTGATGTTCCTTTAAATAAATAAACCACTAGTTTTGCTGAAATTCATAATGCCACAAAAAAAGCTATGCTACGTTTATTTCAATTATCGAAATGCATGTTATAACTGATCTTTACGCACTTAGCCATTGATTCGATTAACTTCACGAAACCAGTATCTTTCGGTTTTTCCAATCCCCTTAAAACTCTGTTTTTCATTACAGCAACAAATTCTTTATTGCTTAACTGACCGTCCACTAGAAAACAGCAAAACAAAACGTATTATTATCTCAAATTTATCATAGATACACTATCAGACAAAAGGTCCGGACCACATTACAAAGCAATTCAATTTGACTTTGTCAGAATTTTCTTTAAAATATTTCACCTCTTTCTCTCAAAACAGTTAAACTTACTATTTTCGTCAAAAATAGTGTAGACCACTTGTATCACGTGGTCACTCAAATCGACATGAGCTACTGTTCTTGCCACGTGTTTTAGTGTAGCTGCAAAACAAAGTGAACCTATGTTATACAATTAAGTCATATAAAATAATTTCTTAACATATCAATAATTGCTGAACGTTCTGTACACAATAAGTGTTAGTAAATATCTTTAATACTACGTCTTCAGGTAAATATACGTGCAAACATGTGAAATACAGTGAGATATGTATCACAATTGAAGAAAACAATATAAACGAACAAAAAAATTGAATTATTAACCCTTCGGAAGGAGGTTTAATTTGAAGTTTCAAGGTTTAATTTAACTTCAATGAAAAATAAACAAAAATCAATAAATATGAAATTATATACGAATATCGACGACCTGCGTAAGTTATTTTACGAGAAATACTGAAACTTAAAACTTTGTGAACCCTTTTTAACCATCCCTTGGGCTTCCTAGAATTAACAGAAGCGGCGTTACAAATATGTTGGGGACCTTGATCGATCGATGCTCCAGCAATATGATAAAATGTCAGCGCCGTGTCCACGTCGTTAATATTATTCAAAAAGTGAAAAAATTTCAGGTATTCATCTTTGTCTATTCCCTTTGGATTCTCCTTGAACCTAAAAAGTGCAGTTTATTTTACATACTTAAATACGCAACGAACTATTTAGAAATTACGTTTATATTAATTGACCGCACTCACCGTTTCTTTACAGTTTTTATAATCTTTGACTTTTTCTTATCAGGATATCCAGCATAAGCAAGTAATAATTCCGTGAAATCTACTTCTGTTATGCGACCGTTTTCGTCCGGATTTCTTCGCTCGAACTACAACAGTTTGTTTTTACCGCTAATTTTTAAATAAGAAAAATTCTTGTTACCAATTATCAATGATAACAATTAGTCAAAGTAAAGCATAAAAATTCTAAAGTTTCCGTTGTATTACGGTTTACTCGTTAATAGGAATACAACAATGTTTATTATCAGAATTTACCCGACACGTTTCAATGAAAATGATTTATTTAACTATTTAAGGGAGTTAATGTTTCAAAACTAACTTCGAGACTAAGTATTTCTCTTTGTAACTGTTGCTGAAACTCGAGGAATTTTTCAATTGTCAGCTTTCCTTTCATGTTCGATCCAAAGAAGTACGTAGTCAACGCTGAATTAACGCCCTGCAAAAATAGAAATATGTCTATGCAAGTATTTCCTACAACAAAACCGAAAATATGAAATAAAATAATTAAACGTAAGATATACAGGGTGTCTTAGAGTTTTTTGTACAAACTTCGTCAGTGTGTTCTATGGGTAAAAATAAGACTAAAACGCCATGCTACAAGAAATCCATAAGTGCTTTATTAAAAAGTTAACCCTTTAATCTGTAACAACGTGTCAGACTCGTGGCAGAGATTTTGGTCAAGATGTGAGAAAAATGGTTATATTAATAAGGAAAATTTGTAAAACTGAGGATTACTAAATGGAATTGACGTGTAACAGATTAGCTTTTGTTAGCTGGCACAGTAGTAAAATAGTAAATGGCTGACACTTAGATGCATAGTCAGAAAAGAAATCATAAGTTAAGGGGTTAAGTAACAAAAATATGAAACCTGAAATAAACGATGTACTCAAGTTTGCACTTTGGAATGTTGCTCGCTTTTTATCAATGCAAACCTGATATTAACGCGATATTGAAGTTACTATAGATCGAATTTCGTCGCTATTTTATCAAATCGAGATTCTCTCGATTTATTTTGAGTACATAGTTCCATGTTGTGAACTTTTTCTTTTACAATTCTCCCGTAAGTAAAAATCTAGGAATATATATAAGGTCAGCTGATTCAGAAGAACAGTATCTTGCTCTGTATCGAACTAACAGTAAGAGATAGTATTATCGTATCCTACACGTTTCATATTTTTGTTATAACTTTGCAGTAAAACATTTATGGACTTTTTGTTACATGACATTTCAGTCTTATTCTTACCTATAGAACACACTGGCAAAGTTTATATAGAAAACTCTAGGACACCCTGTATACACAGCGAACCAGAGAACTTTAAATTATTTCAAAGCTCGAGAACTCTGCGATCACTTTTAATTATTTTCACTTTCGATATGCTGTGACAGTTACAGATATTGGCAGGGCCGTATTTACCACAAGGCGCATTAGGCCCAATCCGGAGCCACATTTGAAAACCTTACTTCTCACAAACAACGATATAAATAGTAACAAAATAAAGTACTTATTTTCGAATATTAAATTCATAATATAGAAACAAGGAGCCGCTGAAAATGGTAACGCCAAATTTATTTAAGACTCGTTTTGGAGCTTCGTAATGATGTTGCGCCTAGGGCCTCCAAAAGTGTAAACGCGCCCCTGGATATTGGAAAATGCTACAATTTTTAATACCTTGAACATACTGCCAGTGGTAACATGGTCGCGATGTCGATTACCGATGCTAGTTTGTTGCCGAATCAAAGTAGCGACTTTTCCGAATTCCTCAGAGTCCACGTCACCGTCGCCATTAAAGTCGAACATTCTGAACGCGATTTCGAAGTGCCTCCTAGAAGCTGTAGAAACGTTTCTTCGAATGAGAATATTTATTATTTTGGTTTTTGATATATCTATCAGGTCTACGATTAATAAGGACTCAAGTTTCTCTATATACAGGGTGAGTGAATAATTTGAAATAACTCGTTATTTATTCATTTCAGCGAAAAATATTTTTTTATTAAATACCCGACTAGAATTTCAGTTAGGCATGCCTAAAGACGAATGTGGGCCTAATGCGGAAACGATTAGGCATACCTAAATGCTGCAAGCCTAATCGTTACCGCATTAGGTCCTAATTCGGAAGGAATGATGCATGCTTAAGTTAGGCATTCCTAACAGTTGCCATACGTGGTCCAAATGGGAGTGGCCAAGCGGACGCTTAGGTTGGGCATTCCTAACAGTTGCCATACGTGGCCCAAATGGGAGTGGCCGAGGGCACGCCTAAGTTAGGCATTCCTAACAGTTGTCATACGTGGCCCAAATGGGAGTGGCCGAGCGCACGCCTCTAAGTTAGGCATTCCAAACAGTTGCCATACGTGGCCCAAATGGGGGTGGCCGAGCACACGCTTAGATTGGGCGTTCCAAACAGTTACCATACGTGGCCCAAATGGGAGTGGCCGAGCGCACGCCTCTAAGTTAAGCATTCCTAACAGTTGCCATACGTGGCCCAAATGGGAGTGGCCAAGCGCACGCTTAGATTGGGCATTCCTAACAGTTGCCATACGTGGCCCAAATGGGAGTGGTCAAGCGCACGCTTAGATTGGGCGTTCCAAACAGTTACCATACGTGGCCCAAATGGGAGTGGCCAAGCGCACGCCTAAGTTAGGCATTCCTAACAGTTGCCATACGTGGCCCAAATGGGAGTGGCCAAGCGCACGCTTAGATTGGGCGTTCCAAACAGTTGCCATACGTGGCCCAAATGGGAGTGGCCAAGCGCACGCCTAAGTTAGGCATTCCAAACAGTTGTCATACGTGGCCCAAGTGGGGGTGGCCGAGCGCACGCTTAGATTGGGCGTTCCAAACAGTTGCCATACGTGTGCCCAAATGGGAGTGGCCGAGCGCACGCCTAAGTTAGGTGGAGTGGGGCTCTCAAACTTGTATGTAGGAATATTTACAGACATCTCAGTGTCGGACGTGCCCAAATGGGAGTGGCCGAGCGCACGCCTAAGTTAGGTGCAGTAGGGCTCTCAAACTTGTATGTAGGAATATTTACAGACATCTCAGTGTCGGACGTACGCTTGCGTGAGATATTTCAACAAGATAAAAGTTTTTATAATTTAATCCATACAATGTCTTGATGAGGTATTCCTCATGAGATTTCATTAATATCTCCCAATGACAGCCTAATAAAGCTATTATAGTATGGGCCTAATGCGGCCCTAACGCGGCTTTCCCAATTAGGCGGTCGTGAATATTCCGCGTTACATACCGCATGCGGGCCTAACAGGCAAATTAGGCTAGCCTAATGCGGATCTAATATCTGCCTAACTGAAATTTCTAGTCGGGTATGTTGCATTAAATATGATGCTATTTAAAAAATTCAAGGTCTCCTTGAAATCTCGATAGATAGGAGTGACGAAAAATGTAAAATGGCTCTGACATGCACTTTATATTGCATTAAATATGATGCTATTTAAAAAATTCAAGGTCACCTTGAAATCTCGATAGATAGGAGTGACGAAAAATGTAAAATGGCTCTGACATGCACTTTATATTTTCCTTCGTTCAAGTAAGAAATATATTAGTAGTGCAAACACAACTTACTGGACAATACGGTAAGCAAAAATATATAATCGGAGAAAGTAATCAGTCCGGCGCTTCCAAGTTTGTAAAAGATACTATCTTCATCTAACGCCAGTTCCAATTTCGTGTGTATATTCTACAAAGAATACGTTCACGCAGCGTTAATAAATGTTAGAGTAACATGAAACGAAAAATTTGTCACCGTTAAGAAAAATTTGAAGGGGTGGCGTATGTATCGACGTAAATTTTAAACGGAAAAATTAAGCATAACCAGTAAATCACTCGTTACGAATCGTAGGAACCACTGATATCGACAATTTCACATATTAAATAATTTCATTAACGAACATTTTGCAATGGAAAATTGTTCCTTACTTTACGCGAATTCGTTACGTTAACTTGGTTCCTAATTACCGTATTTTTCGGACCATAAGACGCACCCCTTTATGGGACGATTTTTAGAAAAGAATATTTTATTAGGTATATAAAGATATTTTCAAATTCTTACTTAATTTATTTATTGTTTAAATAACCTATTGTTAAAATACCTTCACTGGCGTGCTGTTCTAATTTTATTAACATATTGCGCCAGTAATTGAACTTCTCTAATAGCTTCGATACAGTATAAAGATTCGTATTTTAATGTTACCTTCGGACGATAAGACGCACTCCAATTTTAAGTCGATTTTTATATGTAAAAAGGTGCGTCTTATGGTCCGAAAAATTCGGTATGCAAGAAAACATTTAAAGTTGAACTTCGTACATTTCTCATTTATTTTCATTTGAACAGAAGAAACCCCGGAATAAAAAATTTCGTATGGATAAATATGGTTATAGGTCGACGTCGATAAATAATCTGTTCTTCAATAAGCTTTCTTTGGAAGGAGACTTAAATTAAATAACCAACTTACCTTCGGATCGTAGCGTTTATACTTGTCCAAGCCGAGCCCTAGAAATCATCGCATTATTCGAGATGTGACAATATTTCGTACAACGAGATGGAAAAAAAATGTTAAACAATAATAATAATATTGCATGCATCTGAAATTCGAACGTGCTTGCGTGCATGCATGTAAATCGTGAATATGTGATAGAGAATATTTACTTACAAACATAGTAACATATTTAATTGAAGACATAATTGTAATTCCAATATTTGCCTTTAAAAAATGTGAATTATAATGGATGAAATAAAAGTAACGCTTTTAATTTATCGTACAGGTATGAATGAAAACTGAGAGGAATTTTTTGGAAATCGTACCAGCGACAAGTTAAATAACTATTACCTCACAGGTTTCAGCTATTGGTATTTTATTGTAACACGTTCTCTATCAGACCATTTCAAGCAAACTTTGAGAACGACCCAAACACTTCCTTTTTGTTTTCTCCCCCTTCAAATCACTTTTTTATCATTTCACGTGACAATTTTAATCTTCTTCAGTTTTTTAGCAAATTTTGAAGAGTGAGTTCTTGGATCGTGTCACTCGTATGAGCCACTCAGAAGCAAAAATAATTAGCTCCATTTTATACTCTTCCAATTTTAGTATCAAAGCACATGCTTGGTGTTCAATTTTCCATAAATAAAACAAATTTAATAAATTTTATTTCATCGAGTTCGTCATTTTGGCTTCTGAGTGGCTCACATACGAGTGACACCTTTGTTATTTAGAAGAGTTAGGAATTTAGGACATTAAACGTCGGCCGACGAAGCTGGGTCATCTGTGACCCCTATTATTTTCACACGTAGAAAGTTCATGGGATATACAGGGTGGGGTGAAAAATTAGTCTACTTGGAATATTTCCGCTTTTTACAATAATATGGAAAAATGTTGCATGATACGGAGGGGAACATAACGTGATGTAAATACTTTTGTTACGTGGGTGGAGGATGTTGAGAATATTTCAAGATCATCTCGATTTTTTTGTACTGAGAAAACAGATTGATCTTTCTTACCAGATAACAGCATATGCTTCTGTGCTAAGAGAAGGAATGAAGTGGAATAGGAAACTGGCCTTAGGACTTAGGGTAGCTAATGTTAATGCGTATCTACACTCTGTCCAATTTAAGAATAACCTCGCTTCGCGCATGGGACGTGCCTAAGGCAGGGCTAGAACGTCCAAACTCCCACTTAACCGCCTACATTTTTCTCCGTCTTACCCTCTGCTGCGCTCTCTGTCTACGCGCAGAACGGACGAAAATCGGTCCGAGAGCGAGGTTATTCTTAAATTGGACAGAGTATATACCACCTACATTTTTCTCCGTCTTACCCTCTGCTGCGCTCTCTGTCTATGCGCAGAACGGACGAAAATCGGTCCGAGAGCGAGGTTATTCTTAAATTGGACAGAGTATATACAATACAGAAAAAAAGTTACTTGTTCCAGAATTGGAATCAGAGAGTTTAGGAAAAGTCTGATGCTTCTCTATTTAAGCCTTCCAGCTCGAAAACATCCGGTAAAACAACTTGACTCCTATTGCAGAGTATACTTGGCAAACAAGAGTGTTCAGAAAAAATAATAAATGTTATTTTAACTGTGAATATAAATGATTTTCGAGAACGAAATTTTTAAAAGATCGGTGATTTCTAATATTATGAATATACCTAATAGCCAGCGTTAATCATTCAACTAACTACACAATGAATAATAAAAATAGAATAAAAGAATTACCAATTTAGATGTACTAGAAACATTCGTGTACGCATAACGTTTTAGTTTGTTAGAAAATTACCATCTGGTTGCTTAACACCAGGAGTTATTGATCTTAAAAAGTCGTCAGGTGTCATGAAGATCTCGTGGATGTCGTTGTTGACCACTTGCAGAGTAGCAAAATATCGGAATACTTTGTCAGGAGTGGAGTAATGTCTTATACGATTTTCATACTCTATTATCTGTATCGTAAATAATTTTCCACATTTTTAATTGCACAAAATTACAGTACAATATCTTAGGCTTATGTTATTTAACACGTTAAGCGCCGTGTCAGTCACCGGTGACTGACACTATACTTTCCGTTCGGACCGCGTCAGTCACTGTTGACTGACGACATACAATTTAAAAAAATATATTCTTCTATTAATAAATTTTAAATAATTTGGAGATCATGAAAGACTGTACCTAAATATTACTTGTTACCAAAAAAAAATTTTAACGAGTACTATTAAAACATACAGTCTTATCGCAACCTTACACAGATCTCCGGCCGCCAGCATATCGGTGAAATCGGAAATCGCGGGCTAAACGGAAAGGAAGACAAAACAGGCTTGGCGCTTAACGTGTTAACAATTAGACGTGGAACAATCGTTTCGGTGACACATAGGAGTGGAACGATAATTCATCGTCAATGCAACAAGCGCAAAAACATTCGTTAACGCTGAACAAACATGTTTCGCGACGCGTTCAACGGAACATTGTGCGCTCGCTACGTTTTCGAGCAACGCGTTAAAAACATTAACGGTAATTTTAAGCGCTTTTCGGACGGCCAATTTGCAGGTAATGCCAATTGGCTCAGTGTGCTCCGACAATTTTTCCTATTTTTTTCGCGCAAACACCACGTCGGCACTGTAAAAATCACCATTATTCCGCGTCCTCGCGATTAATCCACGCTTTACCCACGTCGAATCATTATTTCCCAAAAGAGCCCGCCGTTTTTTCCACCTTTTCAAAGAGTTGCACGGTGAAAAGGTTGGAAATTTCGTGGACAGAGTACTTGTGCTAGAAATTTTCGTTGCCATATCTCAAGAATTAAGCGTATTTATCTTCTTAACCTTTTCAAACGCGGAATACGTTTGATTGTAAGGAAAATTTGCGAAACACCAAAATTGCTAAGATCGTGAAACGCAAGTTGCGTCTTCAAAAAATATCCAATATTTTTTTATCAAATTTGAAGCATGTGTAAGGAATTTTCTATTTCTTTCGAGAGCATTCGGGAAATTTCTCGAACCGCAGAAGATATATAAACATATTCACTTTTACTTCGTTTGGAATAACCAAGAACTTTCCCGAAACGTCGATGTGCATATTATATAAATAAGAGGCGAGCAACAAAAGCGTGTCAGTCTGTCTGTGTTGCGTCGCCATGAACGTGAGGAAACCCCAGCCTGGCGGATTATCGTCGTAAAATTCATTAGTCAAATTCGACCGCCAGACCGGGGTACCAAACTCACATCGGCCCGCAATAAACCTCCTCGAGCGAACGCATCGACGAAACGAAAACCTCGCGAACCTCTCCTTTCCATAACCGATGCTCTTTTCCGTCAGGGCGACGACTCCACGGTTCATTCTCTGAC